GCTGGAGTTAGAGTTGCTGCTGCTGAGTTTCTTGTTGCTGCTGCACTCCTGCTGTCTGCTGCTGCTGCTGCTGGTATTGTTGTTGTTACTGCTGCTGTTGCTGCTGCTGTTGCTGCTGCTGCTGCTGCGAGGTAGCAGCAGAGTGTGTGCTGCTCCGCCGTCTTGCTGCTGCTGAGGCTGCTGCATGCACCTGGTGTATGTACACACCGCAGCAGCAGCAGCAGCAGCAGCAGCAGGAGCAGCAGCAGCAACAGCAGCAACAACAACAAGAAGAAGGGCCCCTATAAGCAAGGGGGGCCCCCTGAGGGGTTGCGTTTGCTGCGGTGTATGTGCAGCTGCTGTTGTGGTTTAGGGTTTGTGTTTGTGTGTTTTTTTTTGTTGCTGTTGTTTATTTATTTATTTATATAAAATAAATAAAATAAATAAAATAAATAAAATAAATTAAATAAATAAAATAAATTTATTTATAAAAAGATGAAAGGCAGCGAGCGTAGACACTCGGAGCCCCAAACAAACCGCAGCCGTGCTGCTGCTGCTGCTGCTGCTGCTGCTGCTGCTGCTGCTGTTGCTGCTGCTGCTGCTGCTGCTGCTGTTGTCTCGTGTCTTTTTCTTTTTTTTTTCTTTTTTATTATTATTATTATATTTATTTTTATATTTATTATTTTTTTAATTATATTTTTATTGTTTTTATTATTTTTTTTTTGGTGGGGTTGTTGTTATTGTTTTGTTCTTCGTTTGTTCTTTTTGTTTATTTTTGTTTATTTTATTTTATTTTATTTTATTTTATTTTATTTATTTATTTTATCTTTTTTTTTTTTTTATTTATTATTAACGCCATTGTCTTTGCCTACAATTAATATTCTATTTATTATATTTATTTTTATTTTTTTTGTTTTTTTTATTTTATTTTATATTTATAGTTATTGTTATTTTTTTATATTTATTTTCTTTATCTTTATTATTTTTTTATTTTTTTTTATTATTTTTGCTGGTTGCGCTGATTGTCTGCTGTTCCAATAGAGAGGGTTTAGGGTTTAGGGTTTAGGGTTTAAGGTTTAGGGTTTAAGGGTTAGGGTTTAGGGTTTAGGGTTTAGGGTTTGAGGAGAAGCAGCTAGTGCGCGTCACCACAGCTAGCTGCAGCTAGCTAGAGCTAGCTACAGCTAGCTAGAGCTAGCTATGCTAGCTACAGCTAGCTACAGCTAGCCGCAGCTAGCTACAGCTAGCTACAGCTAGCTACAGCTAGCCACAGCTAGCTACAGCTAGCTACAGCTAGCTNAGCTACAGCTAGCTACAGCTAGCTACAGCTAGCCACAGCTAGCTACAGCTAGCTACAGCTAGCTACAGCTGGCGGTTGCCGTGCGCATAGAGTTGTGCCTTTGTAACACAGCCTAAACCCTAAACCCTAAACCCTAAACCCTAAACCCTAAACCCCCTTGCAAACCCTAAACCCTAAGCCCCCCTAATTAGCGTAAACCCTAGACCCTAAACCGCCCAGAGAAAACACTAAACCATGCAGCCCCATAGTTAGAACCCTAAACCCTAAACCCCATGAAAACCCTAAACCCTAAACCCCAAACCCTAAACCCTAAACCCTAAACCCTCGAGGGAGAAGAGAATGGTGGATTACTATTTGGTGTTTGCTGCCTGAAAAGAAAGATGAACGCATCTGCTGCTGCGGTGTACATACACCTAAACTCAGTTGAGTTGCTGCTGCTGCAGCTGTTGCTGCTGCAGCTGTTGCTGTTGCTGCTGCAGCTGTTGCTGCAGCAGCAGCAGCAGCAACAGCACTTTGTGATGGATGGAGTGTAAAATAAAAAGCAGCAGCTCGTCTGCATTGTTTGGGGCTGTCTGTGTATATTGCATGCGCAGTGCATGCACAGTGCATGCGTTTTGTCTACGAATTTCATACAAAACGCCTGCATTTTGCATGCGTTTTGCATGCAGTTTGCATGCATGAATTCTGCATGCACAATGCATGCGCATTGCATGCGTTTTTTGTATGAAATTCATAGAAAATTCGCGCGTTTTGCATGCGTTTTGCATGCAGCTTGCATGCACTTTGCATGCATGCTCAGACGAAGAGAACTTTGTTGAGTACTGGGTCTGTAGAGAGGTTTTCTAAGAGTGTTTTATTTATTTGTTCAATGAATTCTTCTGTTGTGTAAAATTTATTTATATTGCAGCAGATAGCTAGGTCTTTCGTTACAATACCTTTATTGATGGTATGTATGCATGCGTTTTGTAGTGCATGCACAAATAAAAATAAATAATTATTTTTGTCTATCTTTGCTCTATGTTTCAAAGCTAAACACCACGCAAATATAGATGCAATTGGGTTTGTTGATGTTTTTTTTCCTTTTAGATGTTCTCTATAGTGCCTCGTTACTGTACCGTGTGCTGCTTCTGCTTCTATTATTTCATCTATTTCTCCTGCTGCTGCAATCCCTGCTGCTGCTGCTGCTGCTGCTGCTGCTGCTGCTGCAGCAGCAGCAGCAGCAGTTTCTTCTGGATTTTCTTCTGCTGCTACTGCTGCTGCCGTTCCTGCTGCAGCACCTACTGCTGCTGCTTCTGCTGCTTCTTCTTCTTCTGCTGCTGCTGCTGCTGCTGCTGCTGGGGGTTTAGAGAGTAATATAGAGCTCATTAAACCTAAAGAACCAAACCCTTGTGCTACTATGTCGCTCTGTACATCCCCATCGTAATTTTTACACGCCCAAACAAAACCACCAACAGACTTTAATGCATAGGCAGCCATGTCGTCTATCAAGCGGTGCTCGTACCTATACACAAATACACAAATATATTTATTATTATTTTATTTATATATATATAT